TCTCTCTCTCTCTCTCTCTCTCTCTCTCTCTCTCTCTCTCTCTCTCTGCCAGAGATTGCTGTGGCAAACTTCAAGGTGTCTAAGCACCAGAAAACTTGGAAGCTTAGGTAGTTTGGCCAGTGGCAGAGGCTTTGGACTAGCCAGTAGTTCCTAGGTAGCATGTGGAGCTTCGAGGAAGGGAGGGAGAGCCTTTGGAAAGCTGCAGACAGGGCCAGGTCCGGACACGGGGGGCTGGTGACAGCGGGGAGCTTGAGCCAGTTCCTAAGGAAAGGGGTAGGTCAAGGCCAGGGTTCCTGGCTTAGATGGCAGTGGAAGGCACTACCAGGCAAGGGGTTCAAAGAAGGAGCTGGAGAAGCATGTCTTCCCAGGCAGCCTTAGACCCACCACCCGGACCCTCCACCCACTGAGGGCCCGATCCTCCCGAGCCCTTCCCCCGCCATCCCCCCTACATTGTGAGGGTGGCGCTTTGAGCCACTGAGAATGGCTTCCCCAACTTTGCCTTGAGTTGGGTCAGTGCGCACCACGCGCACCCATAGCCCTAAGCGAAGCATTCGGCCAGCATTCCCTAGGGGGATTGGGCCGCCCTGGCCTCAGAGTGTGCCATCCTGCCGGGGCAGAAGTGGGCCACCAGGAATGGCAAATCACAGCACACGGAACGGCTTTCCCTCGCCACTCAGCGCACCACCGGAACGGAACGCAGAATTCAGTTCTTAGGCTCCAAGCGCAGCGCACACTTCCCTGCCTAGGGCTAGGGAATTTTGAGGAGAGGTCTTTCCAGAGGAACTTATCTCTCTAAAGAGTTCTTTAGTAACTCTCGGGGGTGGCGGGGGTGGGGGTTAAACAACCAAATCGCCGGTGGGCTTGCCTCTGGAAGCCCGTTAGTTATTCAGGCTCGCTGAGCCTTGTTCGTAGTTCCTAACGGACCAGTTCTCGTTGTTTGGGGGATAAGTTGAAGAATGAAGAGAAAACATGATTATCTCAAGTGATTTGCACATCACGAGTTTCGTTCTACGAATAAAAGTCTTGTGTCTCGGGCCCAGCTTCGCGCCTGCCCACTTGGCCCAGCCTTTGATACTTCAACCAAGGCCGGCGAAACTACCTGTTGGGGCACTCAGCAGCTTGTACTCCGACCCTCCACCTTCCGCAGTCTGGAGAGGTGGGGCTGTTCAGGGGGTGCCCAGAGCAGGGGCCGGAGGGCAGCGAGCGGCGCTGGAAGCGGAGCCCGGCGGTGCCGGGGAGCTGCCCGGCTCCTCCGCCTCGCGCCGCGGAAACTAACCGCAGCCCAGCAGCTGGGCAGCCGAATCTCGGCACGATTCTTTAAGTTCGGAACCCCCCCTGCAGCGGTGTGGTGGATCCCTGAGACCGGACCAGAGCTTGCTGGACCCTCGGAAACCAAGAGCCGGGGGGGGGGGGGGGGGGGCACCCCCCCCGCCGGGGGGCGCCCGCGCCCCCCCGGGGGCGGCCGGGGGGGGGGGGGGCCCGCGGGGCCGAGGGGGGGGGGGGGGGGGGGGGGGGGGCTTGCTCGGCTTCCAGGGTGCACTCCGGCCCCGAACGCTTCTCCGTAAGCGGAAAGGCGCTCGGCTGGCCCGAGTGCAGAGCGGGCGCTGGGTGCCGTCCTGCCGCCACCCGGGGGCCGCCCCGAACTCCCGGGCCGCTTAGCTGGAAGGAAGTGAGTGCTGCGGGGAGCAGACACACCTTCCTAAGGCTGCCCGAGAAGAGAGGAGCCGACAGCTAGGCGGGACCTCGGAGCCCGCGCGGAGAAGGCTCCCAGGCCAGGGGACGGGGCGGCCCGCGCGTCCCGGGAAGCCGCGGGCGCGGTCTTCGGGGCCGAAGTTTCGCTTGGAAAGTGCTGGGCGCAGCCCGGCTCTGGCGCACAGTTCTCGAGACGTCGGGCCCCGAACGGCTGCTGGAGGCGTAGGAGCTCAGCGTGGAGCCTCTGTGGAGCCTCTGATACGGGTTCTCTTTTCTTTTTTCTTTTCTTTTTTTTTTTTTTTTTTTTCCAGCGAAACCCACTGGGCTTGGGAAGCAGCAATTTTGGAAGAGCCTCACTGAGGGTCTCCTCGGAAGATCAGGGGACATAAAGCGACTTTCTGTGCAGCCGAGGAACGGGCGCGTGTAATTTAGTTTGCTAAGGCCATGCGCCCTTCTCCCTCACGGCCACTGTTTATTTGGCCGCAAACGAAATGGGAACAGACGTTGGGAAACCGGGGGAAAGGAAGTGGGTTAGCCTCAGGTTGTTGAGGTCACTCCTTGTCACAGTGAAGACCATGGGGCTGTGTGGACCGGAGACGTCCTGACACAGGAGCGGTGGAGGAGACCGAGACGGGGAAACTACAAGATGTCTCAGAGCCCTTTGCGCGCCGCAGGTTCCCACCCGCAGCCAATCATCTGGGCAATATTCGCTCGATCCGCCTGCGTGTTGCTTGTCTCCAGTCCTTCCTGACATCTCCCTCCCCCGTTTACCTCCCGGGTCGCCGGGCTTTGGGCTGCAGCTGGACCTTTCAGCAGCGTTTGCAGAAACCCTGACGAACTTGCCCGGTGCGCGCGCTTGCGGGAGTGCTCTCCCCAAGCGGGTCTCCTGGCTTTGGGTGGGTGAGACCCTCAGCAGCGGAGAAGCCTGGAGCAACCGTCAACGCCCGGCCCTGGACCCCCAGTTCAGTGGGGGAGGGGCACACTTCCAAGAATAATAAACAAGGCTGCTTACTAGAGGGACAAGCTGGGCGCAGAAAAGAACCGCGTAGGAAAGCAAGGACGGCTTAAGAAGGGGCCAGACTTCCGGGGGTGCCTTTGACCGTGACTTGTAAAGTACAACCACTGGCGTTTCTCTAAAAATACAGAATTACGTGGAACAGGCGTTGTCAGAATGTGCTGGTTGGGGCAGTGTTTATTTATTGGCTTTTGCCTCTGGAGATCAGCCGGAGCGGTTGCTACCTGCCCATTCCTTGGTGCTGTGCAAATCACCTCCCTACCTCAAGGCCTCCTTAAAAAAAGAAGGGTCTTCCAGGTGTCAGGAGACTGTGCTACCGTTATTCCAGATGCCCCAAGAGTTGCAGGCACCACTGACAGGGCGGACTTCAGCCGAAGATGCAATTTTAACAGGCGCTGCACAAAATTCAGAGACATGCACTCTCTTCTTCCTTTAAACACACACACACACACACACACACACACACCAAGAGCGAGAGAGCAAGAGAGAGTGAGTGAGTAAGTTTAGGTGCTGTCTGCAACTGGGGAATAAGAATTCCTGTTGGGTGCGGGTGAAACTGATTTCTGCTCTGCCCGATAGCCTTGGGAAAGGGTTTCCCATCTGCTCTGAATGCCCCTTTTACAATGTCAGAAAATCTGCCTACAAATATTGGCACGGAGCTGCTGTGACAGGCCGTGCTGCTTTAAATAGGAGGGAGACCGGGCAGGTGAAAAGAAAGTCGCAACCTTCCTAATGACCAGACTACCTGCCTCTAGTCCCCCAAAGCCCAAAGGCAGACAAAGGAGACATTCAGAAATTCTCCTTTTGTGAGCAGGGTGCGGAATGTATCAGCTGAGTTCTGAGATCTCTGTTTGATTTTCGAACTGTGTATTTGCAGATGGGACCCTGAAGACCAGTTATTAAAAGGAAGCAAGGTGGGAATCTGACCCTTTACCTCCTATGCCCCACCTATCCTCTCCTTGCTTCTTCAGATAAAGAGAACCATTGGAAGAAATTTGAGAGATGTTTAGCTCAGCTCTTGGGGGTAGTCTGTTCCTTTTGTTTTTGTCCAAAAATGGGGAGGGGAGTAGCCTGATCAGGGAAGGTCTGGGCTCAGTCCTGAACCTTGAGACAGCATGCTAGGGAATTAAAGTGCTGGCTATCACTTGTCCCTGGATACCCCAACCTTCAGTTCTGCCCCTTCTGCCCCTCTGAGGGCATTCCTCTTCTCTGGAGATGATGTGGTGAAAACGGCACCTATGAAACAGCTGAAGCCTTTCCCACCTCCCCTCAAAGCTTGCACAATACTCACACTTTATTTCTTTCCTAAGTTGCTGTACTTGCCTTGAACCTGGCTCAGCTGTCTCTGACTGACCCTACGCAGCCAACATGGCAATTTCTCCTAGGAAGTGTCTGGTCTGCTAAGCTTGAGCTTGTGAAATCTCCTCCTGCAGACTGTGATTATTGTAGACAGCATCTCAGAAAGTTTTGGGTGATGAGCAGATTGTCCTGACTTTCTCACATCTTTCCAAATCAACTGGCCGCTGTCTTGCCATTTTGAAGAAACTAAGGCACAGAGAGAGGATTTGACCTAAGGGTATGGAAGAAGCTGAGAGCAGGGTCTGCGGCAGCCTCTGGAAGTCTTGAGTTCGGAGTCCATTTTCTCAGCATGAAGGAGGTACAATAGCTGACGTGAGCTACTGTTCAGTGAGCATCAACTGTGTGCCAGAGCACATGCCATCCAGACACGATACATGAGTCATCTTCCCAGCAGCTCTGATGAACCCCATTAGTCCCAGCAAAATATAAAAGATATGATAGGAAGGCAGACATAAATCAAAATTCCTCAAATAATATAAAAGAACATAAACTGAAAGTAAAAACCTCTAGCTCCACTCTCTCTCCCAAAATACCATTTATAGTTCTCATTTCAGTGGCTGTGTACCTGACAGATGTCATCACTTTATGAATGAGGAAAGGCGGCTCTCAAGCTAACACAACATGGCTACCTGTCTCTAGGCTCACCCCTTCCCATTGCTCTATGTTACCTCATAAAACATGGGAGGAAGATGTGAGTGATGCCATTGATAACAAAAAAGTAATGAGATAAGAGTTCATACCAACTTTTCTTTCTCCATTTTTTTTTTCTTCCTGTCCGATTCAGGAGCCAAAAATTGCTACACTTTATCAGAAACTGAGACCATATTTATAATTACTTGTGATGGCTGTATTCTTCCTAGGCCTTGGTGTAATTGGACAAATTTTTCTCCTCTAAGCCTCCTGACCAAGACCCTAAGGCTGCATTCACCCTGTGGTAGGCCGGAGCTGGAGCATGGCTGCTAAGCTTTGGATTTCCTTGACTATCCCTTAAAGTTGTCGAATGAGAGAGAGGAAGAGGACTGTGTAAATTTAACTTTCCTCCATGAAAGTGTAATTGTTGCTTTTCAAAGATGTCTTTAGGACCCTCTGTGCAGTTAGAACAATGGAGAATTGAGGATTTTTTCCTTGAGATGGAGGGAGAACTGGTGTGTAAAGCAGACTGTCCTCAGATTTACTCAGATCTGAGCGCTTCTGCCTCTTGAGTGCTGGGATTAAAGGTGTGAGCCGCCACACCCAGCGAATTTGGGGACTTTGCAAAAGGCTGTGCTTTTGGTGGGGATGGGAGCCCTGGGTCTTCCATAGGGAGGGAAGTAGATTCCCCTCTGCTGAAGACAGAGTGGATGGCTAAGAGTAGCAGAGGTGTGCCCTAAAACATGCTTAAGCTTGTCCCTTTGGTCAGCATTCCCTTCAAAAAGCTAGACATAGAATGTTGGGGGTTCGTACCTCTAAGAGGGTAGCAGCTTTCCAGAAACAGTTATTCAACTTATTAGATTTTGTGTGTATGTGAGAGAGAGTGGAAAGAAAGGATGAATGCCCGACATTTCTGACATAGTGCTCATTTTGTCTTGATTTAAAAAATATGCATATGTTTTACAACTTTTTATTATTATTATTATTATTTTTAATTTAGAGGCCTGATAAAAAGAAATGGTAGGCCCCTGGTAGGGTCTCCCAGGCTTAGCAGAGAAGCAGCCTTCCTTTAAGAAGGAAGGAGAAGAGACGAAGCAGCCAGCGGGTTTCAAGAAGAAACGGTGGGAGTTAGAGAAAATAAAGTTTCTTGAAGGCCCAGCCGTCCTTCAGAGCCTGTGCTCAACGCTCTTCAGGACAAAGGATACTGCGCCCCCTGGTGTTAGACTCATCAGATTCCAGCGAGCTGTGTGGAGCTCAGCAGCCATGAGCTCCCTAAACCTACCACAGAAAGTTTCTTCTGTTTGCTAACCGAATCCGAGTAGAAATTGCCCCACTTTCTCAATTCTGGAGTCTAGGTAGAGACGTTTCTCTAGAGAGACGTGTGTGTGTGTGTGTGTGTGTGTGTGTGTGTGTGTGTGTGTGTGTGTGTGTGTGTGTGTGTGTGTGTGTGTGTTATTTGGTTTTCTTTGCATACATTTTAGGCTGGCAGGACTAAGTCTGGTTAAAAGCAGTCCCTCTATGTGGGGAGTACACTGGTCTGAAAACAACTTGTTTCTGCATGTGGTGATGTCCTGGTTTGAGGGGAGCCATTTGAAATTGCCGAACCTCTTGTTCCTTGTCTTAAAAGTGAACAGTTTTGAGGAAGATGTCTTAAGGACTCCCTTAAGCTCCAGTACTGAGCAAACGCACACTGAACCATCTTTCCCCTGAGCAAGTGGGATTTGTAAATGTCTGTGCAGGTGCAGGAGCATCTCAGCATCCAGTTTCCTGATTCTGAGCAAAGAGTTTTAAAAGCACAAAACGTATCTCTTTTCGGCACAGAAGCCCCTCACCCTCCAGTCTCATGTACAAACCCAGCTAGAAAACTGGAGAGCAAGCACGACTCCGACGCTGCTATTTCTCTTAAAAATAAAGTACTAAGTGTTGTGCTGGAAATTCTGCTCAGCGTAGCATGTGGTAGGTGTGAATACAAGCTTTAATTGTTTCAGGCACTAGACCAAAAACTTGCCCAGAATTAGCAGAGTTTTCAGCTATAATCTGGCTAACATTTTTCTGCAAATAGGTATGAAGACCAGACTGGGTTTCCATTGAAGATTACAGCCATTCCTCATCTACTCCAATGATCAGCCCTGAGGAAGGACTGTGGAGCCAGGTAAGCAGTGTCCACTCTTTAAACCTGTATGTCTTGTCTCTAATGTGAACCGCCGGTTATGCCTCACGGCGGCTTCTTCCTTCTGTGCTGCCTTTCAGCTGTTATCTCTGTGTAATGGGCACATTTTATGATGATCACTATTTATTAGGGATCTCATGTTCGCCCTGTGAAGATCACTTGAGCAGCAACCTTAGTTCTGTAGCTGTGACTGGCGTATGCAGCCGCTGCCCCTTATAAGATGGTGTCACAGGTCCATATACTGTCTGGAGGAGCTGGTCTCCCTTTGAGAGAGGTGAGCCAAGAGGAAGAACAGCACCCGGATGACATGGCCAATGCTATCTCAGGAAGGGGGAGATGCTGGATGAGAAAGGCTTACCAGATGGCGAATGCAGTGATTTGGAGCACTGGGTCCCACTTTAAAAGAAACAACAATGCTATGGGCTAAGGTGCAGGCTTCCAGGATTCATAGCTACAGCTCTAATACCTAGACCTGCAGAGTGTTGTGTTTGGGGACAGGTTAATTTTTTTAAAAACTGCATTTATTTCTTTACCTCTTTAGTTATTTGCTGTGGGTACGCACTTATCGAAGCCGGAGAACAACGTGTGGGGGTTGGCCTTCTCCTTTTTGGATTCTAGGGATCGAATTTCAATAATCAGTCTTGGCAGCAAGCAAGTTTACCCCAAGCTGAGCCATCTCTTCAACCCCAGGAGATAGGTTCTTTAGAGACATAATTATGTCTCAGTGAGGTAAGCGTTAATCTATGGTGACTGATGTAGTCCAGATAAGATGTTGACAGAAAGACCATATGAAGATATGAGGACGAGGAGACCAGATAGGAGGACACGGAGGCCAGATATGAGCCAAGGAAAGATCTTCGGAAGAAATCAACCCCGCTGCTGACCTTGGATTTTGTGGCTTCTGCTTCCGGCAGTACCATCAGACTAATGCCACCTGCTCTTTGGCACCAGCCAGTTATGTGCAGCCGCTTGGAGATGCAGACCCTGTGTCAACAGATTCTCCAGCGTGAGTCTTTTCTTTTTAAATGTTGGCAGGAGGGCTGGCTTTAAGCAACATGAGCAATCACACAAGACCCATTACGTCGAAGTGGCCATGTTTATCTTGATGTTCTGCTTTCTTCATCTTCAAATTCTTAATTTCCAACAGGGGTTCTGCCTTTTCATATTTGACCAGACCTCCAGCCATCACGGAACTAGTGTAGCTGACAAATAATATAAATTGTAAGTAATGTCTGTGTTAAGATTATTGGAGCCCAAATAAATGTGGCCAGGGCTAGAGGGACCAAGGGACATTGCATTCAATTTTTTGTTGTTAACTAGGTTAAGATTTTTCCATGCAGGATAACCGCCGGGGAAGAATTTATAAAACCCAGAAGTTTGCCATGGGTGGAAGGAAAGCCACAGATTCGACTCTATCGATTCTAATGTGGCCCTGACCATTAAAGAGAGAGAGCGCGCAAGAGAGAGATCCTAAGGACCTCACAATACAAGTATACATTGTTTAATTAAATTATTTTTATCTCTGTGTGTTTAGTGTACATGTGCACAGCTCAGAGGTCAGGCATCATTCTTGACTTTTCTTCATCTTGTTTTTTGAGACAGTGTCTCACACAAGGCAGGGAAGTCATCCTGGTCTACAGTGGCTGCCCGGTGAACTCTGGGGAGTCTCCTGTCTTTACCCCCAGCACTGTGATTACAGACACATCAGCACAGGAGACTCTTTCATGGGCACTGGGTCTCTGAATTAAGCTCTCATGCTTGCATGGCAGGTACTTCACTAATTCCCCCAGACCCTCAGTGAGACTTCGGGTGCGAGGAATGGAATGTTATGGTTTAAAAGTCATGTGTTTGTGTGTCACGCTCACAAAAGGTTGAGAGTGATGGGTAGCTTTAAAGGTCAACTTGGCACAACCTATAACCACACGGGAAGACAGTCTCAATGAGGGACTATCTGCATGGGGTTGATACAAGTCTGTAGAGGATTGTCCTAATTAAGCTTATTGATGTGGGAAGACCCAGCACTGTGGGTCCACCCATTGTCTCAGGAGAGGTTCGGAACTGTGTGAGTGGGGAAAGCCGGCTGAGCAGAAGCCGTCATGCCTCATGCAAGCAAGCACGCACTGTTCTCTCTGCTCTTGACTGTGGATGTGATGTAACCAGCTGTCTCAGGTTCCTGCCTTGACTTTCCCCACAGTGATTGACTATGACCTTGAATTGTTAGCTGAGCAAATCCTTCTCCCCATATGTTGCTTTTTGTCAGGGAGTTTTATCACAGTATCAGAAATAAAACTGAGACAAAAACCCTGTTCCCTCTATACTGAGCTGTTCCTAGGTTCCTTACTAGATTTTCAGTCGGGATGAGTTTGGAGAGTTGCACTGGAGGATAAAATAAGACTGGGGCCACCTGTGCATGGAACTGTACAGCCTCAGTCATGTACTGTAGATGAACAGAAAGATATCTTTCCATTTGCTGGAGCGCGTCACAGCAGGGGGTTATAATTTGGAAGAAAAAGTTTAGACCCTGTTGAAAGAAATGCTGTCACCAGTGAGTCTAGTCAGGGGGCTGTTGCGGAGGCCCCACTTTTCTGATATGCACTGATTTATAAAGCACGCTGACAATCACAGAGTGGAATGTTTGGTCTGAAGGTCTGCTTTGCTAGTTCTGTTTCGGCCCAGCACTAACTGGGGACTGTAAATTTTAAAAGGAGTTGTTTCTTATTTATGCTCTATGCATATTCCCTCCAGGGAGTAAATGAAAGCCTGTTTGAGACACTCTGAGTTCCTTGGAAGAAGATTGCTATAAATTAATATAGAGCCCTCTTTTTCATTACAGGCCCTCAGGACACATGGGATGATCCTTCCAAGTCACTCCCCGGAGAGAGTGGAGCTCTCACTGGCCTGTATCAGAGAAGCTGCTTTCCCAACCTCTTCCCTGTAAATTCCCAGCCTCTCCCATTCATTTTCATTCTTCTCTATAGTTTGCATGTAAAGAGGCATTGAAATTAGACTGTGATGGACTAAGAGTTATGAGGCTTTGGTGGGCACGGCCTGTACTTGGTACAGCAAAGGTCATTTTATGATGCCTGCTTCTGAATCTAGGGATCACAGCTACCCAGCTCCTACTGTGCCCCAGGAGACTGCCTCTCCTCACCTCTTACTAAGAAATGGTACAATTTAGAGTAAGGGATGATCCCACATTTAAGAGGCTTGAAATTGTATACTTGGCATTTCTGAGTTAAGATCTAAAATATAGTTCCCTTAATCATAGAGAAAATAAAAAAAACGTAGTTACAACTTTTCATTTAAAAATGATTGCATTAAGAGAAATGGAAAATCATGCTGATATAAAACTATTCATAGTATCAGCAGGGCTGGGGCTATAGTTTAGTCATGGAGGGCTTGCATAGCAATGTGCATGATCCAAGGTTCAAGCCCCAGCACTGCAAAAGAAAAGTGGGAGGGGAGGTGGTATTCACAGCAGCATTTTCGATATGGGCAGAAAGGGGAAGGAACTCAAACGCCTACCCAAGAATGGGTAAGCATAAAGTGGTTTATCTCTATAAGTGGATACTGGTCTGCCATAGAAAGGTATGACATGATAGGTATGATGATGTCTCTTTAAACATCTTCCTAAGTAACAGGCCAATCACAAGGGAAGGCATGTACTCCATATTTCTGGAGTATATAGGCATACCTATTTAGAAAAAAAAAAAAAAAGAAGGACAATGGTTGCTTGGGATTTGAAGAGAAGGCCTGGATTTTGGGAGACAGCAGAGTGCTACAGAATTTCTTTGGGTGGTGATAAAAATGTTCTTGAATTAATTGAAATAACGGTTGTACCATTTGATAAACTGCATTTAAAAAGCACTGAGTTTTACTTTCAAATGGGTGAGTTGCATGGCACAGTGATTATCTCTCAATAAAACCACGGTTATATTTTAAGAAATACCTTAAGACTTGGACTGTCTTTCTTTCTCTTAACCTAATTGCCTTCTAATAAATTCTTGCTAAATTAAAAGCAGATCCCACAAGCAGAAATGAGAATGTAAAAAAGCAGGGGGTTTACTGGAGAGGTTCTGACCTGAGCGTCACTGAATACCTGCAATGCACATACCTATATCTCCTTTGAACTTGTAAAAATATTTTTATTGCTACAAAATCATTAAAATATATTCAAATGGGGGCTGGGGAGATGGCCATTTTAGTTAAGAACATGTACTGGTCTTTCAATGGGCCTATCATGTTAGGGTTTTTACTGCTATGATGAAACACTGTGACCAAAAGCAAGTTGGGAAAGGGTTTATTTGGCATATGCCTCCACATCCCAGCGCATCAATAAAGGAACTCGGGATAGGATCTCAAGCAGGGCCAGAACCTGGAGGCAAGAGCTGATGCAGCGGCCATGGAGGAGTGCTGTTTACTGGCTTGGTCCTCATGGCTTGCTCAGCTGCTTTCTGACAGAACCCAAGACAGGGTGCCAAGCAGGGATGACAGCACTTACAATGGACCAGGCCCTCCCTCATCAGTCACTAAATAAGAAAATACTCTACAGCCTAATCTTATGAAGGTGTTTTCTCAATTGAGGTTCCCTCCTTTCAGATAACTCCAGTTTGTGTCAAGTTGGAATAAAACTTGCCAGCACAATTGACCATTTGTCAACTTGACACACAAACACATCACTCTTGAGACACAACCTTTCCTTTCTTATTCTTTCTTAAGATTACTCATTAATATCAATATTACAATATAACCATTCCAAAAATTTAAAGTTCCACAGTCTTTAAAGAACCAATTTCTTTAAAATAGCCAGTCTCTTTAAAAACTCAAAGTCTTTCAACTGTGAGCTCCTGTGAAGCCAAGAGTAAATTAGTTTCTCACTTCAAGAGGGAAGAGCACAGTCATAATATGAACAAAGCAAAACCAAACTCCAACAGTATAAATAACTTAACGACCAATGTCTGGGATTCACTCACAGTCTTCTGAACTCCTCCGAAGGGCTTGTGTCACTTCTCTGGCCCTGCCCTCTGCTGCCGTCACAGCTTGGCTTCTAGGTTCCAAGCTTGCTGCGTTCCCCTGCTGCTGTTCTTGGTGGTCATCTCCTGGTGTTGACAATCTTCTGATTGAACTGGGCGGCACTTTCAGCAGTAGCTTCACTGGCCTCTCTTCATGGAGCCAAATTTCAACTTTTCTCCATGACCCCTTCAATTGCTACTGAGGCTGCCCCATCCCAGTGTCCTCTCCTGGCCTCTCAGTGCTATGTTCAGGTGTTTTTCATGCCTTCAAAACTAGTACCAGCTGGGTAAGTCTTACACTCCCAAGTTCAGCTACCAGTGTAAGGTACAAGCTTGGTCACCTCTGGAAGACAACTTCTGAAGAAATGCCTCTCAGAAGATTTCATTCACCTCAATGATCTGGTCTCTTCTTAATCACCTTAGTTGAGCTTAATCAAGCCTAATTTCTTAGCTCCAGTTGACCAGGTTCTATTGTCCCAGTAAAACAAATGTTTTACTTCATTGGTTCTGGTCTTTTGTTAATCACAGACCCAGCTAATCAGAACCACAGATTCTGAACTCAAAAGGCTTCATAAGAATCTCTGCTTTCCCCTGAAATTTCACAAGCCTCCACCACCTGCCTCGCTTTCAACATTCTTATCTTCCAACCTCCTACACCTCAGCTCGCTGAGCTCTCAACACCCGATGGCTTTTCTAACCCAAAGTTCTACAGTCATTTCACAATCCTTCCCAACATGACATGGTCAAGTCTGTCAAGCAATACCCCCATATCCTGGTAGCAACTTGTCTTAAGGTTTCTATTGCCAAGATGAGACACCACGACCAAAGCAAGTTGAGAAAGAAAGAGTTCATTTAACTCCTACTTCTACATCATAGTCCATCAATAAAGAAAGCCAGGACAGGATCTCAAACAGGGCTGGAACCTGGAGGCAAGAGCTGATGCAGAGGCCAGGAGGAGTGCTAACGGCTTGCCCCTCGTGGCTTGTTCAATGTGTTTTCTTATAGAATCCAGGACCACCAACCTGAGGATGGCAGCACCCACAGTGGGCTGGGGCGCCCCCCATTAATCACTAATTAGAAAATGCCCTTCAGCCTGATCTTATTGCAGCATTTTCTCAATTGAGGTTCCCTCATTCCCTAACTCTAGCTTGTGTCAAGTTGACATAAACTAGCCGTCAGAGTCTGAATTCAGTTCCCAGCACCCATGCTAGAGGGATCACCATCACTTGTAACTCCAGCTGCAGAGGATCCATGCCCTCTCTTGACCTTCGCAGGCACCTGCACTTCTATGTGGGCACAGACCCATACACAGGCATACACATATGCACATAATTAAATATAAGCAAACCTTTAATTATATAAGACTTGCATATATTTAAATGCTTCTGAAATTGACTTATTGAGGTTCTCCTGTCCTCCTTTTTAGACACAACACTCCAGCTTTCCCTGAAAGAAGTGTTAACCCCGTTTTCAGTGCACATGCTGTGGTTATCTCCTACTGGCTGCCCATCCTAGACTCACTGACTCAGGCTTCGTCACTTGGCATATCCTGTCACGTGGCGTGCTAACTGATGCCATTTCACGTTGATCCGTATGAACCAATTGGTAAACAGAGAACTCTTGAGTCATCTGTTACATTCCTCTGCCGTAACAATTTAAAGCATATAAACTTAAAATGAAACAAAAGTCTTAGAAGGAGCAATACTATTGCCTTCTCCTTTCCTGGTCACCTAAGTACGTTTTATCACCACCTGGGATCTTCAGGTTGCTGGCATCCCTCAGCTCTATAAGCAGAAAAACTATATACTGACATCCTGTATGCACCTCAGTTCTATGGCCAGTGACTTCCCCTCAGTGGCCCCTAAAGATCTAAATCCCATTTCCCAGAACTTGTGACTATAGCTTCATTTGAAAGAAGGTCTTTGTGGCTGTAATTACATTAATAATACCGATGAGAAATCACGTATTGTAAAACAAAGAGAAAGCAAAGTGACACATACATGTAGAGGAAGTGAGGGGGCAGTGTGACCACAGAGAATGAAGTTAGAGTGAGGTTGCACAGACCAATAAATTCCCAGAGTCACCAGAGGCTGGCAGAGACTGCAAAAGGAACAGTATCTTTCCAGTATCTAGAGGCAGCACGGCTCTACAGACTCCGTGATCCAGAACCCATGTTATCCAGAAATATGAAAGAATAAGTTCCTATTTTTTTTTAAGTTGCTCAAAGTTGGTAATAAAATATTGAATACACAGGAATGCCACTGTAGTCTTCTTTGGGGATGACCATGAGGCACGGTGCAGCTCAGTGGGGAGTCAGCTTCCCCTGGGAGGTGAACTGTCCTTCTGCCTGGGCTTGCTGGGTGCTTCCCCTGCCACCAGAGCGCCCAAGATGAAGACCGCTCAGCAATGGGAAGTTGTGACGCAGTGGGACGCCCCTGCCAGTGTCGCTAAGAACAAGTATTAAATGAGTGAGTTAATTTTCTTTTAAATCAATTTCCTAAACAACAATACATTAATTTTTAGAATACATTTAAGGTGTAAGTTGTTATCTTTTTATTGAGGTGACTTTTTAAAAAATAATTTTTATGATGGAGTCCATAACTTCTGGACAGTCCTAAATTTGTATATAATTTAATTAATTTTTTTTCCTAAGGAGAAATTCTTTAATATGCATTTAAATACCCAGCATTCTTTATGAGATAACATTTAAATGCTTTTACAAATTCTACAAAACCATTTGGGTACTGACATGCAACTTAGAGGCAGAGTAGAGTGTATGCTTAGTTTATGAGAAGTCCTGGGTTTGATCCCTGTAACTCACACACACACACACACACACACACACACACACACACACACGCACACACATATAAATAAATAATAAATAAAAGAAAGCGTGAGAAAGAGAGGAAGATACTATGTTATCATTTAGACTTTCTTATTGGCTAGAATATTATTTACCAAAAAGTAAATTGTATATTTAAGCAAGCAAATCACATTCCACAGAGTAAGACTTTCTCAGAGGTCACAAAACATACATTGATACAAAAGCATTAATTCTAGTTTATTCTCCAGCTACCCAGATGTTGCAGGAGATTAGGACTATTTATTATGAAGCTGTAGAAAATTAAAACTTAGTTTTAAAACCTCCCACCTCATTCAACTCCCTGTTGTTATAGAGAATCTCAGTATGTAGTCCTGGATCTTGCTGGACTAGGCTGGCCTTGACCTTTCTGAGATCCACCTGCCTCTGCCTCCCAAGGGCTGGAATTACAGGCGTGCACCACTGAGGGCTAATTCTCATTACGTAGCCCCATTGTAGCCTAGAAAACTGCAAAGCTCTATCAGCGGCAGAGGTAGACTCAAATAAGGTTTACGGAAAAGACAAGAATACAATTTTCTTTCCAGTAACAAGAAAACACTTTTAAGTATTATTCCTTCTCAGTAACATTGGATGAGGGCAGCTGTGTAAGCCTGCCCTTCCCCCTAAAGCTAAAAAGAAACTCACCAAAGTGGAACTATAAGGAGCTGGAAAAAAATCAGTGATTTGTTTCCTGATGGTAACTTTGCAGCAACGATACAAGTGTTGCTTTACACTAAACTGTTTTCTTCATGTGGAAACAGCTGATAGAAATCTAGGAATGGATATAATTAAGGACTGTGGCTCCTACTCCAAAATGCCCTTTTTCTTTCGTTTGAAGTCAAGCAATGTAACATTTGCCCAGGAACTGGAGTTGAGGACCAGAGTTAGGCCCTAGAGACATTTCAAAGCTGCCTGGACAAGGGCTCGGAATGACTGCACTGGGGAACCATCCTGCCTTGGACCCAAATCGAGATTGATGACCTAATATATCTTTCCCAGCACTGACGGCCATAGTTTTATGAGCACCAAGAACTGGGTGTCTGCCATTGTCAACAAACAGAGCTCCTCCGGCG